AGGTACAAAGTACGGGAAAGTTCAGCCAAGACCGTCGTATTTTAAGTGCAAAGGACAGGAAAGTTAAGTTAAAACTATTGCATATCTGTACCAAAATCACAAGGCGGGTCGAACAATGGGCTGTGAATATGTCGACGTCTGTTCCTGCAAGGACGACGACATGCCTGCAAATTCCTCCTAGCTCCACGGACACGGACATAGGCTCTCGGACGGACCCAGGCCCGGTGAACAGCCGCTGCAAAGGTGTCGCGCCTGGCAGGCGCCCCATGTTAGCGTGACCCCAGCCCACCGTTCACCACCCCACCGTTTGAGCGCGTGACCCCGGCCCACAGCTCACCGCCCCACCGCTGGAGCGCTACCGTACGAGCCGCCGCGACCGACGACTACCTGTGGCCGGCGTCAGCGCCGGCCCCGTTACGATTGGCCGACCCTCCGCCGCCGCTCGTATTTTGCATTTCGGCGCAAATAGACGATCATGGCGTGCGCCAGGCGCCGCAGTATATCAGCATCGGCTCGGGAAAGCCGTTGGCGCGGCGTGCCAGGGGCGCACCTCGCGCGGAGTCGCGGCATGCACGGGCATGAAAGACTTAGATCAATGGCCTCACGTGTCTACCCGCAATGCATCACATCCGAACGAGTGATGCGACTCGCTACCCCTCCCCCCCCCCTGACCCCTCTTCCCGTGTGGCTTACCCTGACTGCGCCCCTGCCACCGGTTTAACTTACGGCCCCTGCGGGCCGATCTGACGATCCGTAAAAGCTGCGATTTCGCCTCCGGCAGCACCGTAAATCAGACGGTTCAATTTTCACGATTTGATTTATTCAGCGGCAATAAGTTAGGGTGATATTTACAGTTGCACAAGGCGGCCGGCCGCCGGCGGCAGGTGGCGCCCGAGTGGCCGGGACACGTCGTGCGGTCCGTAAGGCAGGCGACACCGCCCGACCATCGGAGAACACGCGACCATAAAATCAGGACAGCACGTAACAAGTAGATCTGAATACGCACCCCGGGGGCTTCGCCAACGAAAGTGGAGGGGAGGGTCACACGGGACGACGGGAGCGTTCGACCGCAGCTCCAGACGGGACAAATACGACTCGGCGCAATGGTAACCATGACGACGACGCTTAGCACTACGCAGACATCTGTATCACAATAAAAACGGGCTTATCACAATCGGACGCCGCCTCTGGTATATACAGCATCACAGACTTGCTCATGCAGCACAGCTTGAGCCGGGCAGCCAGCGGTGGTCGCCACTCCGCCCTGCCCATAGCCTCAGGGCCTCCTGAGCCGACACGCCCAGACCCCGAGGTCACGCACAGCTCCCCGGTCCGCGGGGAGGACCCGGAGCCTGTCCGCGGACCGCCGGCGAGCCGGGGCGGGGTCACCAGGTCGAACCGGGGCAGGGCTGACCGGTCTGCGGAGACGCACTGGATCACCAGCTCTGGAGATCACGGGCTGCTCCGGATCCCCGCGCCCCCAGGCGGAGACTGAGGCAGCCGGAGGGCATCACGCCTCCTCCCGGCGGCACTACACCGGATTTCGCCGTCTCCCCGGCTTGGCGATGGTCCTCGTCTCCGCGCCCGGCCGGCGAGCTGGCTGTCCTCCTCGGACATCAGCTCTCCGGGGCGTCAGCCTTTGAGAACGCGTGGCGGCCGCCCGCTCGCTCCGCCGACACCGAGCGTCGGCCAGGCGTCGGTCAGTTTGGCTGGAGCCCTCAGGGCAGGGTCGGAGGCCGGGCGTAAAGTGCGCTGTACGGCGAATAGTAGGCGGCCAGCGCGCTGGGGTGCGGGCGCGCCCAGCGCCAGCGAAGAGGGCGGCTTGGCGTAAGGGTGGTACCGCGCCGCCGACAGCGGCGACAGCGAAGACGGAGGCACGGCGAACGGCGAGCGGTGGGCACCCAGCAGCGACGCCTGGTACGCCGGGTGCAGCAGCGATAGCGCCGAGTCGCTGGCCGATAGGTTTGTATGCGTGCGCAGGTGCTGCATCAGTTCCTCCGTGCTGGCGAACCGCTTGCCGCAATAGCGCCCGTCGGCCATCCAGCTACACACGATCGGCTGCGCGCCGGCGGTCGTGCCAGCGGCGGCCGACAGCCCGAGCCCCAGGCTGGTCGGCGGATAGAAGGGGTTGACCAGGCCCAGGTATGGCGAGTGCAGCGCGCCGCCTAGCGCCTTGGCGTGCTCACACTGGGCACAGCCGGCCGGGCACGGCGCGCCGTAGCCGTGCGGCGTGCTGTAGGCGCACGGGCAGTACGGGCTCTGGCACTTCTCCCCCGGCCGGTGTTGCTGCTGCAGGCCGAGGTAGGAGGCCGCCGACAGGCCAGACTGCGAGTAGAGGCCGGGCAGGCCGGGCAGCGTGGGACGGAGCGCGGCCGACGCCGCGTCAGCGCCCGGCAGGTACGGCGGCAGCGGCATCGGCAGCGCGCCTGGCTTGTGCAGGCCGAGTCCCGGCCAGCTCCTTGGAGCCGCCGCAGCCGGCCAGCACCTCGGCGCCGGGCCGCGTGATCGGGCTCGTGCCCGACCCTGACGCTGACGACCCCGCCTCGCTCTTCGGCGTCTTCCGGCTCTCAGGCGAGCGGCCCGGCGACTTGCGCTCCTTCGGCGACTCCTCGGCGCGCGGCGCCGCCGCCGCTGTCGAGGCCGCTGCTGCCGCGGTCGCCGCCGGCGCCGGAGCGGGCTCTTTCCGATCCAGGTCGTACGGTTTGAATGTGGGCTTCTCTGCGGCAGGAGCCGTTGGAGAGGATGGCGTCTCCTTCTTCTCCTCCCTCTTCTTCTCCGCCGTGATCAGCGGCTTGGCGGCTGTCGTGTCGGCTCCGATCTGAGAACACGTCCTCTGCAGCATCGCCAGCGGCGAGGTCTTGGCGTCCATCTGCGGAGAAAGCATGACGTCAGCACGAGACGTCACACGACGACCACACGCGGCGCTTCAATAGGCGCAGAGTTAAATATTCTACTCCGAGAAGAAACAAACCACGCGGCCTCAAATCACCCAAATGAAAAAGACATTACGAGTAAGAGCGACTGCCACGGTGTTTTCGAAATGTGCTCAGCTAGCCAAATCCATTCATGGTCATTTAAACGACACGCGCGCGACCAAAGCTGCGCTGTCACGCCGGCTTCGTCTGATCTGGCGAGAACGTCCAAATTGACGAGGACGTTGGCGGCAAGATCAGAGGGGAGCCCTGCTAAGACTGAAGGATGGGAGCCGACAGATGACTTCAGTGAAATGGCCCGGCGCGTCACTTAGGATAAATCACGGTTTATCAGGAAAGTGGACTTCTTGAGCGAGACTACCACGATTTTTGAAATCACATCAAGATGGTTTGGACGCAGCATGTGCGTCCTTGACGCACGAGGAGCAGGCATTACGTTCTGCGGCTCGACGAAAGAGGATATATGCATATTCTTAACAGGTATCGCGTCGTGAATAATGTCGGCAAAACAACTTGTTTTGCAGCTTGTCAAAAGCTTTCATCTATTAGCTTAGTGCGATTAACCGTGCAAGGTGAGTGACGTGATCACGCGATGAATGACAAAAATGCCCAAAGGAAAATTGTACTGACATTTCGTGTCTTTTGTCGATATTTTTGCATGAAAATAATCGCTAAAATAACTGGGATGAATTGATTAAGATTGATAATAAACAGGCACTGCATGCAATAGTGAGGCTAAATAGATCACTCAGTACGCCGTGTGCCGTAACATGCTCAGTCTTGCAAGCTGAAAAATTTCAATTTCTTGCCCCTCTTTACTTGTTGAGTGCTACTACGACATCAACTTCCTAATGAATGATTCTAAAATATTGACTTTCCAAACTAAAAATCAAAAAACGGTCCCCGCTGTCATCACCTGTCAGACATTCAGTCATCAGACATTCAGACATCAGACAGACTATGTCATGCGATATTCGGAATGGATGTGCTTTTTCCCCATGGCATGGCTTCAGTAGCCTACCATAAACCAGCTCCCATCACGCAAATCTCGCGGAGAGCTGGAAAGAGCGTCATCCAGCGGCCGTTGCCGACGTGCACCCGTGTGACTCTGTCACCCTACAGCCGGTGCCGATGTGCGCCCGTGTGACTCTGTCACCCTACAGCCGGTGCCGATGTGCGCCCGTGTGACTCCGTCACCCTACAGCCGGTGCCGATGTGCACCCGTGTGACTCCGTCACCCTACAGCCGTTGCCGATGTGCGCCCGTGTGACTCCGTCACCCTACAGCCGTTGCCGACGTGCGCCCGTGTGACTCTGTCACCCTGCAGCCGTTGCCGACGTGCGCCCGTGTGACTCTGTCACCCTACAGCCGGTGCCGACGTGCGCCCGTGTGACTCCGTCACCCTACAGCCGTTGCCGACGTGCGCCCGTGTGACTCTGTCACCCTGCAGCCGTTGCCGACGTGCCCCCGTGTGACTCTGTCACCCTGCAGCCGGTGCCGATGTGCGCCGGTGTGACTCTGCGCTCCCAGTGTCGCTGCCCGCCCGGTGACTGGCCGGCCAGCAAGCCGAGGTCACGGGCCGCCCCACCGGCCATCACGCCACCTGATTTACTGCATGACCCGTGATACCATCAGCACAGTAATGACCTCACATGCGATAAATTAGCCGCCGGATGATTTATCGCCGCCCGCTTTCGCAACCGGAGGATTTATTAATTAAGCAACAATGGAAACTGGCAATCATGGTGGTTTATCGAGCGCGGAGGAACGCTGTCTGGCGCGGCTGTAAAATTACCCGGCAGGCTCTCCGTTAGTGGAAGTGCCCCGGCCGCTCGTGAAGTGGTGCACTAACCCAGCACTAACCCAGCTCCGGCCACCACTAACGCCGTGAATGACGACATTTCTCTCCAACAACCAGTAATCCAATATGCAAACAGGCCGTGGGCACCGTATATTCTAACCCCCAA